AAGGAAAATCGATGCATGATGTCATCAAAGTTTCCAGGAGTGTTGACTGCAGTAGCTAAAACGTCCTTCATTTCCCTTGCTTCAGTTTCACTTTCAGTCGACGGTACTGTTGTGATGTCTTCAGGCCAATGTTCTTCGTTTGGAAGCCATGAAGGGCTGCTGTCATCTTGTTTTGCTGAAGCGTCAAACACTACTCGCAGCTTAGTACTCTCAGCTTGGTCTCGCACAACCGCTTTATGTGGAATGTAGAATATCTTTTCTGTAGGTTGAACGTTGTCAGACACCCTTTCCACTATTCCCTGGTCCAAGTACTCCTTTATCACAGCATCGTAGTCCTGGTATAGATCTGGGTTGCGTCTTAGCTTCCTCAGCAATGAGGACAATCTCGCTAAACTCCCTTTCTCATTTGTAGGCAGTGGTGGATGACCAGTCTTCCAAAGTAGTCCTGTTTCATACCAACCCTCATCGCTTCTCACTAGCTGTTGCTTGAAGTCTTCGTAGACTGAATTTGTTCTGTTAGATGGCGAATCTTGGATCCCAAGGACGTCAAGGCTGCACAGGCGATCGTAATCTTCATCTGTAGATCTTGTGAGATACAAATTTGACAAGTCCAACTCAGTTCCTGGCGAAATTATTGTCCAGCCAAACCGAGTGTATTCAGCCACAGGCTCACCAATATTTCCGATCTTTGCAGGTACTGAAGTTTTTATTCGAGAATACTCACTTGCTCCAAGCACCAAATGCACTGGCAGCTCACTCTTTGTGTCAGTTTCTGTCATCTTTATGCCTTTTAAATGGCTGAACTTTCTGATCATGCCCGCATAATTCAGATTTGCCAATGACAGAAGAACGTTCTTTTCCACCTTGCTGACATCAGTGCACAATTCGAAATCTTCGTCACAGTTGCTGATTTTAAGGTTGTTAATTTGGATCTTCCTCATAGTCGTGTGCATCATCATTTCTATTTGTCTTTGCTCGACTCTCGATGCTGAAACACCAATGCGATTGATTAGTGTGGCTGATGCGTATGAGCTCCCTGCTCCTGTGTCTAGCAGCGCTCTGCATTTCACTCCATTGACTTTCACGACCACCACTGGGTATGTAACATGGCGTGTTTCTGACTTCAGCATTGTTTGGTCTGTCGGCTCCCGAGATTTGTTGCAGATTGATGAATGGTGCCTTGCTCCGCATTTGGAGCACCCCTTTTGGCTCTTGCATTCAGAGGCTCTGTGATTCGCACCAAGGCAATTGAAGCAAAGTCGTTTCTTAGATATAAGCTGCTTCCGTGCTTCTGGAGAAGTCACACGTTGGCAGTTAATAGGTTTGTGCCGTTCACTGTCACAATACGCACAGCTGTTTGATTTCCATGGTTTCTGATAGGTTTGGAGCGTTCTCTCAAATCTCCGATGGGGTGTACTGTGTTCTTTTCCTTCTTCCGGGATAGGATTTCTTTCGGTCCATCTCCGAATTGCTTCTACAAGCTGCGGAAATTCCCAGGCGTGCCATTGATCGTCGTCTCTCACCAGGTCTGACCGAATCCCAGGGAGTCTATCAATTAGGAGCCTGACGTAGCCATTGATTGTTTTTAGTTTTCCCATGGTCTCCATTGCTTGCACATGAATAAGGAGTTTCTGATAGAATTCATGTATTTTGGCAGCGTTTGATCCATTGATTGTAGGTAGATCCATGATCCCCTTCACATGTGCGGTGACAATTTCACTCGTCTTACCAAATTTGGTCTGCAATATGTTCTTGGCTCGCTCGTATCCTTCAGATGTAAATGGCAGTCCATCTATAAGAAGTCGTACCTTTGAATCCAGCAGTTCCTTGAGGTAGGAGAATTTCGAGACATTTGATATCTTCGCCGTATCTATTTCTGTACTGAATTGGTTCCAAAATCTCGTCCAATCGATGACAGTACCATTAAATTTTGTTATGCTGAGTTTTGGAAGCTTAACCCTCATATCTCCTTCCTGCGTGTTCAGCGTTTTCTCCACGGACTGTTTAGATTGGTACTGCTCTCTGAACTGCAATCTCATCTCTTCGAGGCGTCTTTCTTCTTCAAATCTTCTTCGTAACCGCAGCTCCTCTTCTTGTCTTTCCCTCTCAATCTTTTCCTTTTCTCTGTGTGAATCCAATGCTGAAATGGCATTGCTTGTCAATTCAATCGTATGCTCGAACCTCTCTATTCTTGCGTCGAACTCAGCACCCCATTCTTCCACCTTCTCTACGCTCTCGTTTTCTTCCATCAAAATGTTTTCGACTTGCTCTCTAAAAGAATAAATTTCCTGTAGTCGGCTTTCTATGGCTTGAAGGTGTCTTCTGAGCTCTCTTTCCTTGTTATCTTCCAGAATTCTGGCCGTGGACTTGTCCTTGATATCCAAAATCTTGAATTTATCCTCCAGTTTCTTCATTATTTCGTTAGAATCCATTGTGAATTAAATTGCTCGAGACTTATTCGCTAAACTTCGGAATAGTCCCGTCGGAGGTGCCACTTTGTCGGGAATCGTATAGTTAGCCGCGACAATAAATCACGAATCTGTTCACAGAGATCTTTAATGTTTATCACGTTCACGATCAACACAACTACTACTACTTCAACAATCTCGACTGCTTTTATACCTAAGTCTAAGAATGTTCTAACAACCACTGTCATTATTGCGTACCATTTTATTACAAGGCTTCTAAAGATATTAATTACGTTATAGCTAATTTGGGATACCCTCAGAAAGTTCATGAAGGTTCCCGAGGTACAATTACGTCAATAAAACGAAAACAAGGCTATGTGTTTACATTAGGCCTAAATAAGCTATTATGAAGAGCTATTTTGAGGGATTACAAACAAGCAAAAGTTCTAGTATGTTCTGGAACGTTCCACTATTTCAAGCTAAGTATAATGTTTATTAAGAATCTTGACACCTACCAACCAAGATCCTATGACAAATCCAAATTCGGCCTCGCTTTTTATTCTCAGTTTGAAATATCCCTTTCTGGATAAAAAACTTTTCTGAAACTCGCATTATATATATCTTTCTACATGTACCCCTAAAGATCCTACGAAAAATCTACATTCAGCCTCTCTTTCCATTCTCAATTCGAAATATCCAGTTCTGGATAGAAAACTTATCTAAAACTCGCATTAAATATATTTTCTACATGAACCCCTAAGATCCTATGAGTTATCTGAAACTTGCATTATATATATTTTTCTATACCTACCAACCAAGATCCTATGACAAATCCAAATTCACCCTCTCTTTCCATTCTCAATTTGAAATTTCCCGTTCTGGATAAAAAACTTATCTAAAACTCGCATTATATATATCTTTCTACATGTACCCCTAAAGATCCTATGACAAATCCAAATTCAGCCTCTCTTTCCATTCTCAATTCGAAATATCCAGTTCTGGATAGAAAACTTATCTAAAACTCGCATTAAATATATTTTCTACATGTACCCGCTAAGATCCTATGAGTTATCTTAAACTTGCGTTATATATATTTTTCTATACCTACCAACCAAGATCCTATGACAAATCCAAATTCAACCTCTCTTTCCATTCTCAATTTGAAATATCCCGTTCTGGATAAAAAACTTATCTAAAACTCGCATTATATATATCTTTCTACATGTACCCCTAAAGATCCTACGAAAAATCTACATTCAGCCTCTCTTTCCATTCTCAATTCGAAATATCCAGTTCTGGATTAAAAACATATCTGAAACTTGCATTATATATATTTTTCTATACCTACCAACCAAGATCCTATGACAAATCCAAATTCACCCTCTCTTTCCATTCTCAATTTGAAATTTCCCGTTCTGGATAAAAAACTTATCTAAAACTCGCATTATATATATCTTTCTACATGTACCCCTAAAGATCCTATGACAAATCCAAATTCACCCTCTCTTTCCATTCTCAATTTGAAATATCCCGTTCTGGATAAAAAACTTATCTAAAACTCGCATTATATATATTTTTCTACATGTACCCGCTAAGATCCTATGAGTTATCTTAAACTTGCGTTATATATATTTTTCTATACCTACCAACCAAGATCTTATGACAAATCCAAATTCAACCGCTCTTTCCATTCTCAATTTGAAATATCCCGTTCTGGATAAAAAACTTATCTAAAACTCGCATTATATATATCTTTCTACATGTACCCCTAAAGATCCTACGAAAAATCTACATTCAGCCTCTCTTTCCATTCTCAATCCGAAATATCCCGTTCTAGATAGAAAACTTATCTAAAACTCGCATTAAATATATTTTCTACATGTACCCGCTAAGATCCTATGAGTTATCTGAAACTTGCATTTTATATATTTTTCTAAATGTACCTCCAAAGATCCTATCAAAAATCCAAATTCAGCCTCTCTTTCCATTCTCAATTCGAAATATCCCGTTCTTGGTAGAAATTTTATCTAAAACTTGCATTATATATATCTTTCTACATGTACCCCCAAAGATCCTATCAAAAATCCAAATTCAGCCTCTCTTTCCATTCTCACTTCGAAATATCCCGTTATTGGTAGAAATTTTATCTGAAACTTGCATTATATATATTTTTCTATACCTACTGTTGGGTAGTTGGCTGAGCATCCTTGTAAGGATACACGGAAGGTCCTGCGTCCTTAGTTTCCAACATTTACGACAATTGTAAATATTAAGTCCAGCTATAATGACTAAAAGATTGCCAGAAGACGATGATAATAAAACAAACAGTTACATTTTAGACTGTGATGATTTGTGAATGAATAAATGAAATACAGCGTTTCGTTGTGATAATGCGTTCGTTCGCGATGATTTCAGGCGACAACTCTCTCTAACAACTTTAAAGATAACACCTTATACAGAAAAAATAAGAAGGCCCTTACGTAGGCGCTTGTACATAGGGTGACCAACTAAACAAATTCAACACACTCCCCCCGATTGACGAAGTCAATCTTGGAATAATCTATTTACAAAAAAATGTACGTTAGTTGTTATTTAAATAATGTTTGCTATGTGTTCTCGAATGTCTTCATCCCGTACCATAGTAATCGATGGTTCATGTTCTTTTTGACCATTAAGGTGTTCAATTTCAGTTGAGTTTTCTTCGTTAGCATTAACTTCAAGTGGGTATAAACGTTGTATCGGTCTTTTGATATAGATGACTCGTCGCGACTTATCTAATGTTTTGATTTCTGCAGCTCTAACTAGTCCGTCTCTTCCAGTTAGAAGTTTAACGACTTTTCCCATCGCCCATGTATGTTTGGGAACCTTATCTCTGAAAATGTGTACGATGTCTCCGACTTGTATTACGCGTTTCGGGTTTTTCAAACAACGATGTCGTTCGTGTAACGATGGAATATATTCCTTTTTGAACCTTTGGCGAAAATGTTCAATGATTAATTCTAAATAACGAGCGCGTTTTGTTAATGAAGTTTTATCCGAGGACATCGATAGTGATTCCGACTGATCGAGGATTCGTCTTCCGATGACAAGACACGACGGCGTTAATGGTGGTTCCGATATCTCTTCACCAACGTATGTTAAGGGTCTAGAGTTTATGATTCCTTCAGTTTCGATCAATGCTGTTTCCAGTTCTTCGTACGAAAGCTTTGCGTTTCCCAGCGTTTTTCTGAGACATTTTTTCGTTAATTTTACGCATATCTCCCACCAGCCGCCCCACCAGCTGGCAGTAGGAACGTTGAATATCCATCGAATGTTCATATTTTGCGCATACATTTGAACGTTTTTATCCAGAAATGTTTTTCCATTGTCTGAAACGATAAGTTTACTTAGTCCTCTCCGAGCTGTAAAACGTTTAAGCGCGCGAATGAATGTTTCTGCGAAAAGATCTGGAACTAACTCAAGGTGTATTGCTCGCGTATTTGCACAACTGAATAATGCAATGTAGCATTTATTCATACGATCAGTTTTGGTGTAGATATCCTTTACATATAAAGGACCTGCAAAATCGACTGCAACGTTGGTAAATGCTGCATCTTCTGATACGCGATATGCAGGTAACGGTGGCGCATTTGGTGTTTCGTATGGTTTTCCATGTATAGCTTTACATCTGGAACATTTCGCAATTAAGGATTTTACAATCTGACGACCTTTCGTAATCCAGTAATTGGATCGTACTTCCGCGAGTGTTTCATTGACTCCATTGTGTTTGACTGTTAAATGGCTATGCCAGATAACCAATTTTGTAAAATGATGCTGACGTGGCAATAATACGGGGTGTTTACTGTTATATGAAATCGATGCATTTTGAAGTCTACCCCCTACTCTGATTATTCCTTCTTTGTCGACAAAACATCCGAGGTTATTTCTAATTTCTTTATCATTTCCAGATAGATCAAAGACCTTTTGCACTTCTAAGTGCCACATGATTTTCGCTTCGTTGACTTTGGACAAAAAGTCGTCACTTATGTCTGTTTGTAAATTTTTAACCTTTCCTTTTAAAATTGCCACGAATTTCAATACGAGCGCAGTTACCCGTATTAAGCGAATGAAGCTACTGTAATTTACGCATGGAATGATTTTGTTCAGATTTAGCTGATCGTTATTTTCAGTTACGACAACGTTTGTATTAATTTCGATTTGCTGCGAGGGCGCGATTTCATTTACAGGCCAAAATTCCGAGTCGTTTTCCAAAAACTGTGGCCCGTTCCACCAAAACTCGTTTGATTGCATTTTAGAACAATCAATGCCTCTTGAAGCGATATCAGCTGGATTGTTAGACGTTGGACAATATCGCCAATTTTTCTTTTCGGTTAAATCGCAAATTTCATGCACTCGATTTCTTACAAATACTTGTTTGTGTTCTTTGTTACCTAAAACCCAGTGAAGGACAACCTGTGAATCTGTCCAACAAAAGATTGATTCTAAGTTAATTGTGCTAATCAAGGCATTGTGGACTGACTTTATAAGACGCGAAAGTGTTACTGCGGCCATTAGTTCAAGTCGCGGTATTGTTTCACCTTTCATAGGTGCTACTTTGGTTTTCGCACAAATTAATCGGCTTATTACTAGTTTAGATGATGATTCGACGCGAAAGTATACACAAGCCCCATATGCATATTGACTTGCATCAGAAAAGCCGTGTAGTTGAATCGAAATAGCGTCATTACTGATAATATCTCCCATTAGGCTTCGTGGAAATTCAATTAGTGTTGTGTTTGCAATGTTGTTTACGATTTTGAGCCAATTATTGCAAATGTCGTCAGGGAGTTTTTCATCCCAGGCTGTTTTCAATTTGCACAATTGCTGAAATATCATTTTAAGCGGAAGAATTACCGGCGAAAGTACTCCGAGCGGATCAAAGAACCGCGCGGTAGTTCTTAAAATATTGCGCTTGGTTACTTCAACAGTACTGCTAGCGGCTTCGATAAACTCCGAAAAGTCAAACACAAATTTGTCGTTATTTCTGTTCCAAGGCATTCCTAGGATTTTAGATTCGGTACCATTGCATACTGTATTAGAGATCGATTTTGTGAAGGTTTCATCATCGTCGAAAATGACATTACTTTCCTTCGAATTTGCGGTTTTACTATGCATATTTTCAGCTAGTTCAATGCGTTCAATAAGCGAATCACTGTTAGAGGCCCATTTCCTCATATTAAACCCTCCAGAAGCAAAACAAAGTTTGAGTTTACGATAAAGTTCGAAACTTTCCTCCTCAGTATCTAATGAAAACGCAAAATCGTCGATATATAGAGATTTTTCGACGGTTTGCACAAATTCGTTATCTGACTGTCGATAGTTTTCAAGGTGGTGACGTACAGTAGCATTAAGAACATACGGTGAACTCGTAAGTCCAAAAACTAAACGTGAAAACCTCAATGTTGCAAGCTCAGGATCTTTTTCAAAAACGTTATCGTACCACAAGAATCGGAGAAAATTCCTGTCGTTTTCTTGTATAATGATATTCAGAAATGCCTTTTCTAAGTCACCAATTAACGCTATTCGTTTAGCTCTGAGTCTCAAAAGTACATCAAAAATGAGAGGTACCAGATTTGGGCCTGGTTCTAAGCAATCGTTTAAACTTACTTCGCCGTTTTGTTTAGAGCTTGCGTCGTAAACGACTCGAAGTTTTGTAGTTTGCCGCTCTTCTCGAACTACTTCCCTGTGAGGATTATAATACACAGATCCAACAGGAGCCGAGCATAACTCCGTATCCTCTACCTTTTCTACAACACCGGAATTTAGTTGTTCAGAAATTACTTCGTTGTATTGATGCAAAACATCGGGTTTTGAATTTAAGCGTTTTAACAGGCTTTCGAGACGTTTACGTGCTACTTGATAATTGTCTGCAATTACAGGATGATCTTCCTTGAATGGGAGCGAAATCTCATACTTTCCGAGTTTTTGATTAAAATGAATTTTTCCCTCTAATGGATTTTCGCTACAAGTTAGTTCTTGCTCATTAGACTTGATACCCATAGATTCGATATCCCAGAATTTGTGAAGTTCGTTTATCAAATGTTTATCGCTATCAACGACAATATTGTCAGTTTTAAGGACATGTGAAATGATAATGTTCGATGAGTGTTCATTTGTTGACGGTATTTCTACGGGACCGTTAAGTACATACCCGAATCTGGTAAGTGTAGCTACGGGGCCATAACCTTGCTCCCCCCGTACTACGTGATCTAACATGAACTGCCAAATGTAGTCCGCCCCAATCAATATGTCAACTTCAAATTCATCCATGCCGCTACCTTTATCAGCTAAAGGCAAATCTTTTATGTGGGGATATTTCAGTTTGGCTACGTCTATGGCTTGATTAGCAACCGGGCTACAAATATTGTCTACCACAAAAGCATTAATAAACACAGTTAGGTTATCTGCTCCTTCGATAGCAATTTGGATTGAATCGCACGTTTTTAATGTCCCACTAACGTTACCGAATTCTTTAATGATTACCTTTTCTGTGCTTATGGTGGGCAACTGTAACTTATCCCTTAGCCTGCGTGAAATATACGATTTCTGGGAGCAAGAGTCTAAAATAAG